TATGCATCAGATTCTTTACAAAGGGACCAAAATTATATATTGAAGAAAGTACAGCCTCTTTAACAAATGGTGCTGGGAAAACTGGACATCCCTATATAGAAGACTGATACTAGATCTCTATCCTTTACCCTGGCAAAAATCATTTTAAAATGATTCAAAACACTAAAAGTATAAGACCCGAAACTTTGAAAACTGCTGTAAGAACAAAAGAACAGGGAACACTTGAAGTCATAAGCACAGACAAAGCCTTCCTAAATAGGACTCCAATAGCACAGGGAATCATAGCAAGAATCTGCAAATGTGACTTTTATTAAATTAAAAAGTGTCTGCACAGCAAAGGAAACAATGGAATGAAGAGATAGCCTATAGAATGGGGGAAAAATCTGGGTCAGCTAATCTGTTGACAAGAGGATGAATATCCAGGAAAGACTCAAGAAAGTTAAGATTAAAAAAAAAACAAACCTAATCAAAAAATGGGCAAATGAACTGAAGAGACACTTCAAGAGAAGAGGGACTAGGGCTCAGTAAGTTCACAAAAAAACGTTCAACATCTTTAGACCCCAGAGAAATGCATATTAAAACTGCACCGAGATTCCATCTCACCTCAGTCAGAATTCTATCACCAAGAATACAAAGAAATAATAAATGCTGGGAAGGAAGTAAAGAAAACACTACTATTAGTGGGAATGTAAATCAGTACGGCCACTATGGAAATGAATATGGAGGTTCCTCAAAAAACTAAAAGTGGAGATACCATCCAGTTCTATATTCCTGAAAGAATTAAAGTCTGTTTCCTATGGAGATTACTTGCATACCCAAGTTTACTGCAGCTCACCTCGCAACAGCCAAGATATGGAACGACTCTTGGTGCTATCAACAAGATGAATGCATAAAAATGTGGTATATAGAACACACTGGAGTACTATTCAGCCATAAAGAAGAATGAAATCATGTAATTTTCAAGAAAATAGAACTAGAGATCATCATGTGAGAAAAAGACTCAGAAAGACAAACATTGTATATTTTCTTTCACATGTGGAAGTGGGAGGGGCATGAAAGTAGGAAGAGACTATTATCAGAGGGGAAAGAAACAAAGAGTAAAGGGACACTGGGATAATTAGGGGTGGAAATGATTGAAGTATTTTATATGCATATAAGAATCTGCCAAATTGAAACCCCTTAATCTGTATAACTAATTATTTTTAAAAAACAGGAAGACAAAGGCCTTAGCTATAAGATACTTCTTAGATACCTAAGAATAATGAATACATAAAAGGATTAAGTTCTAGTGTTCTATAGCATGGTAAGGTGACTATGTTATTAGTAATTTATTGTACATTTCAAAACAGAAGATTTTGTTTCTAACACAAAGAAAAGGTAACTATTTGAGGGACTATATACGCTACTGCCCTGATTGCTGCACAGTCAAAATATTATACTGCATCCCATGAATATGTATAATTATGTCAATTAAAAGTAAAAAATTAAGAATAAATTTGATATGATGTAAATGTAACTACCATTGAAATTGCTAGATAGCTAACTCTGTGGCACAGATTGTAAATACAAAATAATTGCTTTCTTGGACTACGCAACTATGACTTTGGCATTTGCTTCAGTCCTCACTAAGAATCAGTGGTGTATGTACGTGTGTGTGTGTCTAGGGCTGCTTTATCTGGACAAAAAAGATATTTCTTTACTCTTTAGATGAGTGTGGATATCTATTATTTTTTAACAGGATTGTTAGATTCTGTACATCAATATTTTATTAAAAGCTTTGTGATGGTCTCTGTAAATTAATTTAGACTGGTCTGTTTTATATGCTCTATGTCAAGTTCTCAAACTCTATACATATAAAAGATTTATTAAGTTTTACAAACTTACAGTGGTACCTTGGCACTTGTCATTAATTGGACTGGGAAAAACACAACAAGTACCAAAAATGACAAATTCCATCAAAATTCTTTGGGCTGGAAAGGGTGTCAAGCTATGAGGCAATTGGCAATGACAAGCTGTAGCTCGCACATTAAGTACCAAACCAAAGAAGAGAACCAGGACAAAATTTTCATGCCAAAATGAGTCAAGCTGTACAAGATTCAAAGCAGCTGGGCTGGGGATTTAGCTCAGCAGCGTTAAGTGCCTGCCTTGCAAGTGTGTGATTGTGAGTTCAATCCCGGGTACCAAAAAAAAAAAAAAAAAAAGATTCGGGGCTGGAGATTTAGCTCAGCGGCATAAGCACCTGCCTTGCAAGCAGGCAGTTGTGAGTTCGATCCCAGGTACCGATAAAAAGGAAAAAGGAGAAAAAAAAAAAAAAAGATTCAAAGCAGATGAGTACCATGCTATGACTCTATAAGGCTTTGACAAACAGATAAGGCCTCATAAATTTTATCTTTAATACTATTCCCTGGTACTTATATTAGGAGTATGAGGTGTATAACTCTGATACCCAACAGTGTTATTTTATCTTAGCTTGGTCTTTTTATATTTTCAATTTTTTAGGCATCAGTTTTGGCCAGTTTAAGAGTATTACCAATTTTATCTATGTTTCCATATTTATTTGTACAGTTAATTTTTACAATTTCATCAGTCTCTAGACTATTTTTCATTTTATTTATATACTTTTCCTTTATATGTTTAGCAACTTCTAATTTTGTAATTTTCGGGCCAAAATCTTCTGAAGGTACAAGTTATTAAATGTTATATGAACCAGAAACTGGTCTCTCAAAAATACTGAAGTAGTGCAAGGACTACTTTCTGTGTCTCAGCTATATGGTTACACACAAAATAAGAAAGGCCTATTATCAAAATATCTATTATCATTTCCAGCACAATGGCAGCTCTTATCTTAGAAAGGTGTGGTTCCCTAGACCATCTAGTAGATCACGATACAGCAAGATGTTGGTCTAGGAGGTAAATACACAAATTCTAGCACCCATATGCTCAATTATTCAACTGGTCTATCCTATTTGTACATACAGGCACAATTCCTAATAATAACTGACTAAGCGCTGTATGTATCCTCAAGCCAAAGGCATATGAAAGCCTTTTCATCTCCTTTAAATAGTGACTTAAAATAATGAGACCAATTTATAAACATAACTATAAGCATGAGTTCTGCAAAATTAATGTTCATACCTCCAAATGTGAATATAACGCAATCTCCAAAATCCAATGGAAGAGCCATTTTAGCATGCCAAACATTCTACATAATCAAAGAACTGAGATTTTATTTTATTAGTTTCTTGAGACAAGGTCTAGCTATTGTAGTTCAGGGTAGCTTTGAATTTGAGATCCTCCTGCCTCAGCTTCCAGAGTGTTATGATGACAGGTTTGCTATATGATGCATGGCTAAAATTTTAATTACAAATCAAAGCATTACCATGAATTTCATCAATTTATTTAATAACTAAAATTGAAACCATCATCTTAAAATATGATAGTAGGCAATTACAGATAAATTCTTAGCACACTGTTCTAACTGCATATTATTTAAACAATTAGTTCTCAAACTTTTGGTTTCAGGGCCCTATTACATTGAAAATCTCACAGTTTTTTTTTTAAGTAACAGTCATAACTATTGCTAATTACTACAAATTATAACTGAGAACTCTAGAAATTTGATTTATTTTAAAACAATGAGCTGGGCATGGTGGTGCATGGCTGTAATTCCAGCAGTTGGGAGGGAGGCTGAGGCAGGAGAATTATCAAGAGTTCAATGCTAGCCTGAGCTACATTATGAGTACAAGGTCTGCCTGGACTACATAATGAGACTCTGTTTCAAAAATGAAAACAAACAAACAAAACCCCTCAGTTCTTTTTTTGTCTTTTTCCTTTTTATCGGTACCAGGGATCGAACTCACGACTGCCTGCTTGCGAGGCAGGCGCTTATGCTGCTGGGCTAAATCCCCAGTCCCATACCAACTTAATATGAAAAAACTGGACTTCCATATTTGCTTTTATGTTCATTCTGTTGCAATATGTTGTTTTAGTTGAAGCATGTAAAGACAGTGTGGTCTCACACAGATATATAGTTGGAAAAGAGAATACCTCAGGGCTCTCTGAAAAGTTTTTGGGGATCCTACTTTGAGAACCACTAGATTAAGTTTTATATACTTGTATAGTATAAGGTAATGTTTCATTTGTGATATTAAAATTACTCCTCCATTAAAAATTATGCTGTAGTAACATAATTGCAAAACAAGGTTTTAAATTTACTTGACTCTTTATGCTAACATTGAATTATATTATATAGGTATCAGTATTTGAAATATACATAGCAGAGATCAAACATGCTGCAATCTCATTTGATTACTGACTCTTGTTTCCTATTGTTTCTAGAGTAGCTGGTCCATTGTGCTCATAATCCAATTTTACACCTACAACTTCTCTAGTCTTCTATAGATGGGTTTACTTCCTCTGAGAATGCCTTCAGAACAGAAGTCTATCAATCTCAAGTCACCAACACACAAACTTAGGTGAACTCTATTTTCTGCCTTTGCTCCTGTTAAAATAAAAGCACTATTCTTTCTTCAGTTTAAAACTCACCTGCTTGCTATGATTAAAAGTAACAAAGTTAAAAAGAAAACTCCCTCTGACTGAGCTATTCTGACTAACTCAAAGATCTCCAGACTAGGCCAGGCCTGTGTTTAAGAAAGTAGACTCCCATTTCTTTTACCCTATCACCTGGTAAGTATATCCCACTGGAAAGTAACTTGATTCCTAGTGATTGAGGACATCTAGATATTTCAAGGTAAGTATTCTCATCAGAAGTGATTTTATTTATATTGATTTCAGATTACACAACCGAAATCCTTAAATATAAAGGTAAAGATTTCTAACTGTAATATATTTTTTCTCACTTAATTCTATCACTGAAGCAGAACATGAAAGGATTCATTATTGGAGGGTTCTCTTTTGATCGTCCTGGTTAATGGAATGTCACGTTCAATCATCTGTCAGTTCTTTTCCATACAGAGATGTATAGAAATATCCACTTTTACCTTAACTGGGAAGCTACATTTTCCAGTGCGAACCCCTTCTTCATCTGTCTGCCACTGATGTGGACGACTGGCCTCTGGAACATAAACATCTTTCTTTCTCCTAAAACTCTGACGTAGTTTGTTCATTTTAATTTTTACAACCTGAAGACAGCAAAAGAAACATGAAAAAGAAGTTATCTTTTAACATATTTAAACTTTGGGTTACCAAAAAAACCCAAATTAAAAGTTTGATAAAGGAAAATAAGCAGTTGGTACACTTAAGAATAACACCAAGTTCAAATAAATCATTTTAATTTTTGAAAAAACAAGTATGATACAAGTCCTTGTTAAAAAATGACAATAACTCCTAGTAGGATTTAAAGAAATGTTATTCTAAGAATTTCAAGCATTTTAATTGTAATAAATCAACAAAAATTCTCTCTACCAACCTACCACTCAAAACCATTCTCACTTGTAAAAGTGGAAATTTGTACATGTTGGCCAAATTATAGATTGATAACAATTTCTGAAAACTTTCAAACTTATCAAGGGAAAAAACAGTCTGGTATATTGAAATATGGGGTTCAATTTGGCTTATCAGAAGATATTAAGCAAAACTGGGATGGTAATCATGCTTTTACAAAATATTTTTTTAATAAAGAGGAATAAAACAAACTTTCTTTAAGTACATATGCGAAAGTTGTACTAGGACTAAATTTAAAGAAGAGACTTCTTTCAACCAGTATGACATCAGAATTTACTTCATGTCTTACATTCATTAATCTAAAACAATGAGAAGGTTCTAAGTTTCATAATTCACTCTATAAAATAAAAAGTATTAAAAAGTAAGTTTTTTTGTTGCTGGAAGAGACAGATCTTCAATACTGTCAAAGATTTAGTAGTGATTACAGAACTACAGAGAAATAACTGACAACAAACAGCCAGAACATTCAAGAAACGATGAACAAACATCATTAGAGTAACTGTCCATCTACAGAGCAAAGTTTCAAAATGTGAAACTAATACCTCCAATTTTATATTACGGAGCATGGCTTATTCTTTGCCAGAAGGATTTAAGCACTTAAATTGCCCTCAAGTGATCTTAACTCTAGAAAAATGTGACAAAAACACGAAGCGTCTTCTGTTGTGATTGTTAGTTTCCACGACACCAGTGAAAGACTTGAGAATCAAAGTTTGCATTCTGAGTAAAATCATTTTGTCTTTTAAAACGCGTAACACCACAGAAGATTAGCTCAAATTAGCTTATTTACACAGGCAAGCCCATCTTACTACACATCTTAGGTAAAAATTCTGACAGGAGTATAAAAATCCCTTTTCTTTCTTTTTTTTTTTTAAGCCAGTCAAATTTAGCAGTGGGGGGGGGTGGTGTACCAACTTTAGTGACACTAATGTTAATAAGTTCTGATAACCCACTGCCATCGGACCAGCCAAAAATCCCTTTTCTAATAATGAATTTAAGCAGATCATTATTCCTAAACCCCCTAAATGAGAGTATCTTTATCTAACACACTTTCGAAAAGAATTTCATAATCTTCTTTGAAAACATATCCTGTTACACTCTTTCACATCACAGTTGAAAAATACTGTATACACAGAGGCTGGGGCTGTAGGCTCAGCAGTAAAACAGCTGTCTAGCACGCATGAGGTCCCGGGTTTAATCCTAACAAAAAGCATATATAATTCTTTTCTTCTTAATTTTCTTCTCTTAGCAAAGACAACTACCTACTTATCATTATCTTACCACTTGGCCAAGCCAGTCCTAAAATCATCCTATCACCCCTTCTGGAGTCTACAACTCCATTATCTCTTAAATTCAAACCCTCTCCATACCAAGCCTACTAGCCTGAGATAGATAAATAAATTTACACCAAATTTAAATTATACCAAAAACCTATTTCTTGTTCTCTGCTTCCAACAATGCTCCATTCTAACCTGTTCTGACTACTGCTAAAGTGCTTCCCATAAACCATAAATTGGACTATAAAACTACTTAAAATCCTTCACTTACAGCTAGGCCTGGTGACACGTGGCTGTATGGGAAGACTGGCTTGCCTGTGTAAATGAGTTAATTTGGTAACAGTTCTGTGGCACTATGCATAGCACTAGGAGAGTAAAATAGCAAGACTGAAAATGGAGTCCAGCGTGGGCAACTTAATGACTTAGTGAAACCTTGTCTCCTATTTTAAAAGGGCTTGGGATATAGCTCAATGTGAAGGTCCTGGGTTTAATCCCCAGTACTACGGGTGAAAATTTTCCACTTGTGTCAGAACACCTTCAATATCAAATTGCTGAGCATGGCAAACAGTTCTTTTTCATCTGGCTTCTCTCTCCAGTCCCCATTCAGATACTGAGCTCCAGATACATTAAACTACTTTCAGTTCTCCAAACAAAGCATCTCTTCTTTCAGTTCCAGAACTTCTGTACACATTCCTAGTCTGCCTAGAAAGAAAGAACTTTCTCTGTTTGCCTCTGATTAAAGTCTACACATTTTTAAAGAGTATGCTCATGAGTTAACCTCTAAGGAAGCTAAAATTTGTGGGCTCTGGTTCACTTCATGTAACTCTCATTAATGCTTTATGCTATTTATAAACTTTGTAGCAACTTATATTTCCTTAATGGTAGGCAGTATTGTGTTGGTTTAAAGGATACCCTGGCATTTAACACAGAACATATTATATGTGGCATACTGTAAATTTAAAAAAACGAAACATAAAATAGATCTCCATCATGGCAGAGGCTACTTGCTAGGCACAAGTTTAGACACATAAGACCAATGTGATACAGAGAATCAGTGTTGGAACAGACTGTAGATTTAACAGTAGTACAGTTTCCAACTGACAACTCTGACCACTTCCCTTAATAAAGGAGGACTCTAACCTCTGTCTAATAGATCTAGCACAGGTTTATCTGCCTTCTACACAGCTATTTATTGTTACACTATTCTGTTGCTGGATAAGAAAAAAAGATTATAAATATTAACAAATTGAGTCTAAATATCTTGTCATTCTGGTATGCAAATGGTTTGTTATCAGCTTTTATGTGAAAATTACATATTAGTAATTCTCAAACTATCCTTCAAGGAGCCCCACTATTTACATGGAAAAAGCCCAGTGGTCACTAATTATTTGAAGGGAAAGCAAAAAAGTTAGAAGACTGGACATAACACTCAGGAAAGGTTTCAGGTCCTGATTACAGTTAAAACAGATTTACATGCTGGAGTTCTGTGTAAACGTTTAAGGAAACAGTTTCATGGCTGGACCATTTTTTAAAATGGCTGATATAACAGCTCTAAAATTAATTTGGAAAAGAATGATACCTTCATTGCTACTTCTTAATGAAAAATAATTATCAGTGGCCTGAAAAGTCCAGATTGAACATATATAAATGGGTATATTTTTATAGGAATAAAGACTAGAAACACACAAACTTATTTTGTTTTTCAGACAAAATTTTTAAAAAGGATCTCCAATCTACTAGAAATTTCAAGATTCTACTTACTTGTGAAGTTCAGAAAATCCTTTATTTTACTTAACTGCTCTGCAGAACCTGATACCCTGTTTCCAGCTCTCTTGTATACTTCTTTTCTTCCTAATCCCTTTCCCTCCCCGCAGTATTTCTCTGGTTTATCTTCTTCACCTGTTTGCCTCCTTTGAGGCGCCTCCTGGGCTTTCTCCCATTCATTGAGAGAATTCCCCAGTACCAGTCCTCAATCTGTGCTCTTCTACTTACACTGCAGCTCTAAAAAATAACCAGTTAACGTAAACATTGCCCCAGGTATGATAATTTCTCCCATTTACACTTTCAGGTCTTGATTTTTTTACTCAAATTTCTCTATTTCTCATTGCTGTTGCCTCCCATACATTAAATTATCCTTAAAGTGCCCCTCCATCTCAATTCTTTTGGTTCAGTAAAAACTGAAAACTGTGTTATATAATATTATTAATGCTATTAACATATATCATTACTCATGCTAGTGGATACAGACATTAGTAAGACTACTTTACCTTTAGGTGGCTCTCTCCCTTCATAAAAGGGATATAATATAATATAATAATAGCACCATACACAGTATGCTCTCCAAAAAGTCTACATTCAGGATACTTTTCCTATAGAAAAAGATTACTTCAAGTACAGGCAACTGCACCAACAAAAAAAAAGCACAGACATGGTCCAGAAGAGGTGACAGGGCCAGTGTGATCCTAGAAGGGAGAAGCGGAAACCACCTGACAGAGTCCAAGCCAAACTGGACAGGATAAAGTAGCAAAGAAAACCTCTTGATGGATAAGGCTAAGCTCACATCACCTGAAAACAGAACCTAACTAAAGAGAACTTCATAGTAACAACAGATTTTCTTCATTCTGAATTCAACTTTGGTGTGCACACATATACAATAGGAACATTAAAAAAAAAAAAGGCAAAGAAGTGAGTCCAAAGACTCTCAACTCTTCCAATGCAAACCCAAGGGGCACCAACTAAGAGGAAATCAAACACCAGATAGCTGAGTTCCACAAAATGGTTAAAGAGGAAGCAAAGAAACTTGTTAAGCTCAAAGATGACATAATCCTAAAGGCAGGAACTAACAAATAACTATTAATTATTTGGAACTAACAAATAACAAATAATTATTTGGAACTAACAAATAAACCAGTACGGTTATGAAAGAAACTAAAAAATCAGAAGAGCCGGCCAAAACTGTACAAAGCATGAATGACAATTTTACCAAAAATAGTCTCCATGGGAAGGTGCCAAACAGAAATTCTGAAGATAAAGCAGTTTATTAAATATATAATAGAAGAAATGATCACCATGAAAAAAAGTTTTCAGAAACTGAAGATAAAACTGAATCAAATAATGATAAACTTGGAGGAACCTTAAAAATAATAGCAAGGAAACTTCATCCAACAGCTACTAGATGATACTAAGAAGACTAACCTAAGGCAAACTTAAGTTAGAGAAAAATCAGAAGACAGCACACCAAGAATAAAACAATCTGTTTATAGAACTTATAACAGAAAAATTTCCAAGTATGGGAAAAGAATTCAATACACAGGTAAGCAAGGTTTACAGAATACTAAATAACTACAAGGAAAAAAGGAAGCTCCCAATGATACATCATAATAAAAAAATTGCAGAAGTACAAC